AAAAAAAACAACAAAGAAACAAAACCCAAACAACAACAAACCACAGAAAACCTACAACACCCTTCTACCTATTAAAAAAATAAAAACAACCCAGAAAAGGAAACTAGAAAAGGTTAAGCAAAGAAAAACTATCTGCAAAATGCACCTATGGTAATGAGGTACAAGGAATCTCCATGGAAACCCAAGTCAGGCATACCTGGGTACCCACTGCATGGCAGCCTTCCAGATGGAAGCACCACACACCATGACAAAGTATTTCTGACATTCCAGCTCTCTCAGAGGCACAAAACCCTTTCATTGCCATCCAAGCAGCAGGAATCTGTGCTACAGTGTGACACCGCGAGTTTGGAATCACACGCAGTGCCACTGGGCTTGCACCTGCTTTTTTGGTTTTACACACTCCCTGCTTATCAGCACTCACATGTTTTGGCCTTAGCAAGGTAGATAAACTGCAGTCAATTGACAAAGGGCCGTTTTCCAACCACTGACTTCCTTGCACTCAGGAAATTTATTTTGTTCATGATCTGCAAGATCATGCAAACCACGACACAATCTATACAGCTATTGCAATGGAAGGGTAAAAGCAAACCTGGTTTGCAGATGCTTTTAACTGTCACACCGATTCACACGGGGGGCACACACTGCAGTCGGAATTTCAAAGAGAAAAAATATGACTTGGGCATAATCTTGTGTTTCTCCTCTTCATTCCCAATGTTTCCATCAGAAATGCACAAGGACAAACTTGGATCATTAGGAAAACTGAAAGCATGACTTCCACTACTACAATCTCTTCTGTTCCCTCCCTGGTTTTTCTTGTTCCCTTCATTCTGTCCAAAACACCAGCCCTCATGAACGCTGGAATTCCTGAGCTGACAGGTTGTAATGACATGATAAGCCCGACAAAATAGTACAGCAGGAAAAAAGCCCCAACAACCTTTAATCAAATATAAACTATTTTATGTAAACAAAGCACGTTTCAAAATTCTCACTTTCATGCTGCCAATGTGCAATTTTTTAATTGTTAAAGAGATACTCGAGTGTTCACCAACAAAGACTTTGAGACCACATCTAGCAAGCAGTGGAAAGATGTGGAAGGGTCCAATTCCACCACCCAACAAGCTACCAAAATACCCCAAGACATACTTGAATCTGAACATCTCACCACAATGTTTTCCTGCTCTTCCCATAGTGATAAGAAATTATGACTAACCTTCACATCAGAGAGCTGACAGAAAAAAAGTTCTGACTCGAAACACATGTTTTAATGTTCTAGGAAGCAAGGTTTTAAATTGGAAACCCTGACAGATCTTTAACTGCAGCAATAACAAATAACATCAGTGTAATTTCTCTTGAAAGAAATTGCTTTGCTTTCTTATCCAGTTTCCAGCTTAAAACCCTTCATTGCTGATGCTGTTGTCAATCTCATCCAGTGACCCATTTACCCAAAGCACAGAATTACAGAACAGAATTTTATGACAAGTACAGAGAAGGTTTTGACACTAATAACACTCAAGATTTTGTGGACTCAGATTGTTTTTAGGGCTTGGTCAGAAAGGCCACCTTTCCTTCCCGTAAAAAGTCAACAATCCACCTCAGAGGTTTTACAAATGAATTTGTCGTGGCAATTAAGGGGAAGAAGCTTTACAGACATGGTAAAAGGTGAGTAACATCCCCATGCACCGCTACATTATGGAATAAGAAAGAGACCTTTAACCCATTGCTCTGAACACTCGGGAAATCAGAAACACTGTCTGGATAGTTACAGTCTGTGACTTTCAATGAATCAGTGGTGTCTGCAATGAACACCCGACCTTTGAGGGAGAGGGAAAGGAACTCAGACCGAACAAAGTAACCTCCAATGATCTGTAACGGAGGGTTGAAGGGCTCTGCCTCTCACTGTGGGTATGGACTGATAGTAACCCAGTGCACAACTAGGCAGACTCTCACTGAGCCTCCTCCCTCACCAACCCCCCCCAGTAAGGTTTGAAAAGCCGAGAACCTGAAATCCACTGGGAGGATGCTCAGCGTGTCTGTTCTGGTTAAAATACACAGTCTGTTCAGCTTCCCAGGATTCTTCTAGAGAAGGCAGTGGCAGGGAGCAGACAACACCTGCAGAAAACCACCACACACAGAGCACACAAAGCCCTTCTGAAAACACCAAGACACTGCTGGGGATGAGAGAGGTGGGACGATGTGCAATCTAAAGCCATAAGGGCTACAAAATCCACATCGTTGTGAAAGTTTCCCACTCCATTATGTTTGGATAACGCTGTACAGGATGGGGAGAAGAAACCTCCTTGTTGTGGGTTTGGGGAAATTTTTTTGTGGGGGAGGGAGGAGGTTTGAGGAGGGTTTTGTTGTTAGGTTGGTTTTTTAAACACAAGTGTTACACATCCTGAGCTTCCCATGTCTCTCACTGGTATTGCCAGTGGTTTGGACAGGGTTTGTTTTGTTCTGGTGGGTTGCAGTGGAATGCAATTCTTCCACTGTGCTGGTCCAGCTTTCCTTAATGTTTTTGCTGTAAGAGTCACCACATTCCCCGTGTGCCTACAAAACAACAATTTCCAACGTGACAGTGAGAATGTTCAAGTATCAGCTCTACGTCTTCTGATACCAAATAAATTTGATAAAGAAACAAAAAGCATCCATGAACATGCAGCTTAAACACATTTGTTGCCACTAAGTACATAAAAAAAATCCTAAACATGCAATTATTACATTTAATACCCTATATGCCCAGGTTATTTTGTGAAACCATCCACATTCACTCGAGTGGTTTTAGCTCTTAAAATCTATTTTTTAATAATATCGGTTTAGAAAGCAGCATTACCAGCAGATATTAGCATATTCAAGCCCTGTTGAATTCACAAGGCTTTTATTATCTTCTTGTTGTTTACAAATTTTACTGTCATTCATCACTGCAAATCATCAGCTGTACTTGTGGCTGAAGAAAACACTAACTCAGAAGGCAGAGATGAGTGCAAATGCATTAATCAGAGATCATGATTTTTCTACCAGGAATGTTATGCTCTCAGACACCTATAATTAGACATACCCAGTACCTATAATCTCAGTTATTCAAAATATTATGGGGACTGCTCAGTGTGGGTAGGAATGGAGTGAATAACTAATATAAAGCAAAAATACAGGTAAAGCAAAGTATTTTTAGAATTAGGCTGTAAAAATGCATTTCTGTTCCAGAATTTCTAAAAAATACACAAAAGGAATATTTCTGCAGAGCACACTGGCAGCTTAAACAGTAAGAGCTGGTGTGTGAGCAGTGTGAAATCCCTGGGCCTTCCCCAGGTTGTGCAGATGGAGGAAAACAGGATAGATCAGATTCCTTTTTTTTTTTTTTCAACCCAGTAACTACTGCTTTTTAGTAAAAAGGAAATAAAATTATCAGTCTGAGATTTCCAAGGCTATGCAGTGCTTTTAGCCATGCTGTGCACAAAAAGGAACAGCAGGTGAGACTACCCACCTCTGATTGCTTCATGAATCTACAGCATAAGCCTCAACTACACATTTAATAATCTACATAGGGTTTATTTTCTGTATCAATTGTGTACTTTTAATTTGGTCAAGGAGCCAAGTTCCAACTGGGTTTCAGAGCATCCTTAAGGCTCAAATCCTGACATCATTTTTCAATACCAAACCAACAACCACTACCACAAATGAACCAATATTTGCAGGATTATCAGAATTTAAAGCAGTATATCTGCAGTTAAATTTCTTTAAAGCAACTTCTAGTATTCTGAAGGAAATATGTTTTTGAAGTTTAAACAAGAACACTGGCAACACTTGCTGGATGTTGGCTAATTTACAGAGACAAGCCTCTGACTGGAGACAGCCAGCGAGATGCTGCTTTAGGTAGTGTGTAAAAATGAAGTTAATGCCACCCACTGTTTGGAGCTTAAAACACTCAATCCAAAACTTTAAGCTCAGAATGCAACACACACAGTCAGAGCAGAAAATTAAGTAGCAGGTGGACAGACTCTTTTCTGCCTGTCCTGAACAATAACCATCCCTTGGGCAGCTCCACGAGAAAGCACATGGCAAGTGCAGGCTCACAGGGACTGGTGGTGCAGGTAACACTCTGCGTCCACTGGGAAAATTGCTCTCTACATGGAACAGCACAGAAACCTCAGAGAGCCTCAGATCTCCCTGTGTGAGCCAACAGCACTGAGGAAAAGCAAACAAATGGCAGAACACTGCAAGCTCATCTCGAGCATCTGCAACACAGTTCTTGTCCCTGTGGTTTATGATTCCAGCTTGACTCACAAGCAACTTGAGACGGTCCAAACCCCACAAAGTTAGTGGGTGTTGCAGGACTGAGGAGACCAGAATAAAAACCACACAAACAATAAACTACCACAGACACTCCTGGCTAATCCCCTTACACGTAACTTCCTGAAACCCAAACACAGACACAAAGTAAAATATAAAATAATTGATCAACTACCTCCGAAGCCATCCCTACTTATATAAGTTGTATCACAAAAGCTTTACTTTTCATACCATTCTTATGTTCAACTTCTGATTTTTTTACCCACCTATCAACTGCCAGCATTTATCATTCCTGCCTTTCACCCAGCGTTCACCACCAAGCCCTCACTATGATTCCTCTCCTTCCATTTTCAAGACTTGTTACCTATCCCTGGGTATTCTCCTTAAAGTACATCCTCCTTATCTCATCTTTTCCTTTTCATTCACGAGCCTGCTACTGTCTCCATTTTCACTTCTCTCATTAAGAACTTTAAAGATCAGTTTCAAAAGCCGGTTCCCAAGTCACAACATACACATCAAAACAGTCCGCCTTTATTTACAAACATTCTGTACCACCATCAAATGTCGTGTCAGATTCCTGTGATTATTCACAGGAAGGCATGGAAGATTTTTTTCAAACATGTACTTAAACAGAGCTAATAACTCTTTTTCCCTAGAAACAAGGCTTTACAACTTCCTTAGAAGAAAAGTTGAACGAGCAATATCAGGCATACCCGTGCAAGCTGCCCTAGAGAGCAGAGGTGAGGTTTTGTTTGATTTGTGTAAAGGATCTCTCCAAGCTCCTGATAAGGCTTCCTGAGGGGGGTGAAGTGTCCAAAGTGAATAATTTTTCCTGCTACGGTTGTTTTCCCAGAACACTTGTTCCCTCGCTGCTTCTAGCCAAGGCCTTTCCTTCCTCCTGAGCAGAGCCAGGCAAAGCCTAAGCGTGCATAAAACCTCAAGGATTCAGCATTTTAGTGGCTGCCAGCACCTTTATTCTGCTATTCTGAGGTGGCTCTGGGACCACAGGTGCCTCAGATTTGCTGTTCCCAGTTTCCTACCACAGGTGCCTCGAGTCTGCATTTTCTAAACGCATCTGGTACTGGCACTGTTCCAGCACAGGAAACTTGGTGTTTTTAATTCCCTAAATTATTAAAACCTCTTACTTCCCAGCCATGAAAACACACACACAGCTGCCCAAACTCTGAAGCAAGTGGTTTTAATTTTCCAAAGGGCAGCCCAGCGGAAGGATCTGCAGTTAATTAACACTACACGAGGTCTTCTTACTCCCCTGGGCAGCCGCTCCAAAAAAAAAAAAACAAACAAACAACAACCCAGAAACAAATCCTGAGGGGCCGAGACACTTTTAAACCTTACCAGCCTCCCGGGGACCAGCCGGAGCATCTCCCTCTGACGGTGTTTCATGTCAAATAAGACGTATTTCTCGCTATTTCTGCCAGCAGCGCTGCCTCCCCAGCCCGCAGCCCTCAGGCCAAGGCTGAGGGGGGGGCCGGGTTCCCTCACGTCCCTCCCTCGGGCCCGGGGCCGCCTCTGAGGGCAGGGGGGGCCCTGCAGAGTGTCCCAACTGGTTTCCCCGAGCACGGAGGTTGACCCCGGAGATGGATTTTTTTCACCTTTCTTTCAGGTGAGGGGCAAGGTGAGGTGTTCCCCCCAAGCTGAGGGACACCGGCGCTGTAGCCAAGGGACACGGCCATAAACAGGGTGTTTTGCCTTTAAAGAAACAGAATGTGATCGCACCACTGTTGGACGGCTCAGTAGTTAAAACACTGGGGAGACCGGAATGTCATTATAACAGTAAGGGTGATATTCCTCAGTATTTCAATTAAGTAAATATAGTCCTTGGCTCCTCTCCCATGTGACAGCTTGGGGTGCTGGCAGATCACCCCTGGCCCCCCCAGCGCCTGCTGAGATGCTGCTCAGCCCTTGAGAAAACCCATCAAACCTCACTCCTCCCACGACCGTTTTCAGTAAAAGCCTTTCAAACTTCATTCAAACCTTGTCAAACAAGCTGTAACTGGTGCAAATGAAAGCTTAAGATGAATTTAATACTGTACCTATTCAGGCCTAAAATACAGGGCCGATCAGCAGCAATAACACATTATTTGAGGTATATGATTTCCAGCAGATTGGGTTTTTAGCCTGTCAAGATCACTCCAACCATCTGAATCCTGTGAGTTCTCTAAAAGGGACAAGGTATCTAGAAACATCTCGTCCCTCCCTCCTTGCTGTCTTTCCTCTCAACCCTGAAAAAACCACCCTTGATATCATTTCCCTGCATTTTAATCTGTCCAACACTGCTTTGCTTTTGTAACTTTTGATTTAGAATGATGTGACGAGACAGGAGAGGGCAGAAGTGGGGAGACACAGTGGGGTTGTGGGGGCTCCAGAGCCCTGAAGCTGCAGGAGGACACAGGGGGGGTTTGCAGCTGGGCAGGTTCCCCCCACCTCATTTTCCTCCTCAGCTTCATATTTTCTACGGGCTGATTTCCCCCCCAGAACCTCGTGCATTGCTTTGCCTTTTTTTTTTTTTTTTTTTTTTTCAGGAAAATCTTCCCAGACACACAGTGGTTGGAGCCAGAGGTGCTCACCCACTGATCTGCTAAATTGGGGAGCTGGAAACTCAATTTCTGCTACTTTTCTCATTGGATGCAGCTTAATCATAGATGTTTCCAGCTGAAAAGAAATATTCCGACACTCAGCGTTTGAGACAGCCACAAAAAATATCACAATTTGGTAATGATGACCCCCTGAACACCTGCTTTTGTTGGACCTGGGTGTACAAGAGTGATTTCAACTGAAGTATTTGAGAAAGAAGTAGTTTCAATTACTCCCCTAATACAAACGGCGATGTCTCATCTGACACTGGCATTTCAGCTCCAGGGATTCAGTCAATCTTTGTCTGCAGCAGGTTGGGACTCCTGGAACAAGGGGACCTGGCTTAGACACATCACCCTCTAGACCTGGGAATCAATCCAGATGCTGCAGGTGCTGCAGAGGAGCTGGGTGGGCACACAAGAGCCATCCCACACCCCCACCCTGCAGACAATCAGTGCTGTCACCCTTTGGAGCCGTGCCCAAAGCACACTCTGCTTCCCTGGCAGATCCATTCTTTAATGGCTTTAAAACAACTAAAGGGCCATTTGGCTTCATCAGGGTGCTCAGGGCCCCTGTGCTGGGAATGGCACAGAGAGGATGTGCACAGGGTGATGTCCTGCTGGGGCTGGACGCTCCCTGTCTCTCCTGGTCTCCCCTCCCACCAGCACAGAGGCACCTGCACCCCACGGGCAGCGTGCAAGCCTTGGGGCAAGGCTTTTGCACAGACCATCACACCTCTCTCCAGGCTGTTTGCATCTCGTTTCCCCCAGAGTTTGTCCCTGGGGAGCCCACCCTGCAAACTCCTTCCTGGCAAGGAGTTCCCTCTGGAGCGCCGAGCTTGGAGAGGACTGTGCTGCCTGTGCCTGGCTCCTCAGTGCCATGTCCACAGAAACGAGCTCCCTCCAAGACAGAGAAAGAGGTATTATTCAGAAACAAGCAAAAAAGATGGATCTATGGGTTCATGTTTTTGGAGACACCTCTCCCCCCCCCTTTTTTTCTTCCCACATCCTTTGGAGGCTCACAGAGCTGAGCCGTGTGGGATCTCGCAGCTCTTTCCTTCCTCAGTTCCATTTCTCCTCCACCCTGTTCATCTCTAGTCCCATTTTCAAGCAATACTCCAGGAACAACGAGTATACATTTGTTTCTTTTTTTTTTTTTCCTCTCTTGTCATTTCTTCATACAGCTTACAATTTTGGTGGCAATTTAACAGCTTGTACAAATTACATTCCTATCTTTTTCTCCGTTATTGTTAGGGGAGAAAGTCCCATTTTTCACTGTGATCCTTCAGGTTTCTGCTGTCACTGTATTTAGGACTTTTTCTTTTTTTGTCCTTAGCTTTTATTTTCTTATCCCTCAAGGGCAGCCTTGGAAATTCAAAGCTGTTCCCTGCTATCAGTGGATCTGGTATTCTCTTTTGGCAAGTCCACAGCAACTGTCTCTCTTCCTTCCATCCTTCCACCTAAATGACACCTTTTCTCAATAAATTACCCTTTGTCTCTCAAAGCAACAGTTCCATTTGTGACAGTTTGGATGTATAATAGTCACATCCCAGTGGATACCTTCAGGAGCGTCAACTAACAGGCCAATACAAACTCACTGGTGCAGAAAATAAAGAGATTTATGTATTCTGGGCCTTATTTACCCCCCAGTAGTCAAGCTGTGCTCTGAATTTTCAAAGTTTGCATTTTAAGATATGGTTGCTCATCACCAAAAAAAAAACCTCTCCTGGAATGGAGGGATGGCTGAACACATGGCAGAATTCCCTTTTTTCCAACATAATATCCCTTTAGGTCCCTGGAAAATATCTCCGAGCAGCCAAACCCACACAACCATGCCCCTCTCAGAGTAGGGCTTCATGGATTGTTTGTGCTACAGAGGAAGCATTGATTTTGCAAACATTTCCTGGCAGTAATGACGTTGATCGATTAGTGCTGCTGTTGCTAATGGAGGTTAAACGTGTGGAGCAGCAGCTTTGGGGTGTCCCCAGGCTCCCTGCAGGCAGGGGGGTCCCCAGGAGCCCCCTCTGCCCCTGGGGACACGCTCGCACCCAGCACTGCTGCAGGGGGGCTGCGGCAGATCCAGCTTCAGAGGGCTGGATGCTCCCACCCCGCTCCCACCAGATGACAACAGAGATACCCAAGCCCAGGGCTGGCAACAAACCCACCCTCCCTGGCTCCTGCAAAGTGCCCGAAAGCAACAGATTGAACGTTTTTACACAAGTCGTCAAGATCCAGACCTTGGCTTTAGCAGCCTGTGACTTTCTTCTCGCAGCCCTGCACCTTCTGTCTCCTTTCCAAACACCAGACAAGCCAAACATTATTTTCCAATCCCAGCATCTGGCACGCAGCTCTGGGCAAGCCTCTCAGCCTGTCGCTGCTGAGATAAATGAGCCCGTTTCAGCGGCCGACTTCATAAAAGTATATGAAAAGTAGTTAACAAAAGGGTATTTCACAAAGCCAGGAATGCAAATGCAACCTCTGAGATAACTAATTAACTGAAGGAGCCAGACAAAGGGGAAGCAGCTTCCCATCTGTGGAAATAGATGTCATTTTGTAGAGGCTCTAATTAGCTCTGCCCTGTCCCGCAGCCGTTTTGTCGTTGGTGCACGCAGGCTGCTCCTGCTCCGCAGCTCCTGGGGCTCTCGAGGCGAAGAGGGGGAGAGCAAAAATGGGGGAAGAGCTGCTTCACCTTGCAAAAGTCCCCTACGAGGGATCCAAGCAGCAAACAAAGCCAGGGTTGTTTTTCAGAGGTGGCAGTGCAGCCATGCAGAGCCATCCAGCACAGGGCACTGGCAGCGCTTGGCCCCGACTGAGCCCCAGGGAGATCATGGAATCACAGAATCATTCAGGTGGGAAAAGTCCTCCAAGATCACTGAGTCCAACCGTTAACCCAGCACTGCCAAGTCCACCACTAAGCCATGTCCCATCCCAGCACTTCCATGGAGAAGTGAGGGGTTTTTTTAGGTTACTTGTAGATGCCCCATCCCTGGAAGTGTCATCCCAAGGGTCAGGTTGGATGGGGCTTGGAACAACCTGGTCTTGTGGAAGGTGTCCCTGCCCATGGCAGGGGGGGTTAACTAGATGATCTTTGCCATCTTTCCAACCAATTTTGGGCACAGACATTAGGTTTTGCTACACCCCTTGCTTTGGGCTGTCCCCCATGTTGGATCAAGGCACAGCTCCCACCAATGTTCTCTCCGGGGAATGTGGCACCTGGGGGGAGCACACTGGGGTCTGTTCCCACTGTGTCACCACCTGTGCCCGCCCTTTTCCAGCTGTTCTCCCGTAATGTTCAGCTTTTCCTTTGCTCCCCTGCCTGTGAGGATCCCTGCAAACCCCAGCCTGCAGCGAGCTCAGCAGGGTTAACGCTGGAAAGGGGCGTACCATGGGAATTAGTCACCACCGGGACCTCAGTCAAGTGCTTTATTTAATACCCTTTTCCAAAGACGTTTTTACTTGAAAAAACCTGAAGAATTATGAGCTCCCTGCTGACAGCTGTGACTCAGAGGAGCTGTGGGCACACACCATTTAAGTGAGAAGTGTCTTCGCGGCGCTGAGGAAACGTGGGTGAGGAGGGGAGAGGGGCTGCTGAGAAAGTGGGTTTTGAAGGGAAAAGGCCCAAATGACTTCAATTTGCAGTGCCAACAGCTTTGCTACGGCAGGAACCGCTCAGACCACCAATGGTGAGAGCCCTCCACTGAAACTGCACCTCATGGCTTGGCCAAGGTCTGACCTGCCCTGGTACCAGCCACGAGGGTGGGTCTGGCATTCAGTGCACGGGGCAAAACCGTGCCCAAAACCCAGAGCAGGGCAATGCTGTGCTACCAGAGGCC